TCCCTTGTCGTTTGCCCTTGGAATTTTTGCTCAAATAAAAATACTATTTTAGTACTAATTGTGTTATTTATACTATACTTGGGCATTAATACAACCTACTCGATGTCCTTATTTATTTGTTAATCCAGGTTTATTTTGCGCCAGATGGCCTGCAACCATGAAGCAGATCTCGTTCCGGTTATTTTAGTTACAATTATTGACTATTTTTCCGATGGACCGCTGTTGCTATGCAAGAGAAAGCCTTGTTCCCTCAAAGTCGAGACAACAGCTGATCAAGAACAATCTGAATATTTTATTTTATTTCATATGTGTGTCTATAATCAGTTGAAAAAGGGACAAACAGTTACTTGCTCCAATATTTGGCGTTCTAAGTTTCCTCTTTCTCTTTGTGATACATACTCCAACTTCTATCTTCTTGTATCTGACTCGAAAACAATGATAGTTTCTCATGCCACTGAGTCAGGCTCTCCCTCGCTTAGTGAATGCAGTTTTGTAAAGAATCCATTTAATTTATTTGAGGCAATGATAAACGAATTTAATCTGCAGCCAGATGACATAATTTGGCTCATGGATCTATGGATAACTTTAGAGGATGTTAGAGCACTCATAATCAACTCTATGGACCTATTTAACGTGAGCTATTGTGACAATTTATCTTGCTTTATGCTATTTTGTGACTACATCTCTTAGATCATCTATCCCAATATAGTTAGGACAATGAGCTGTTGAATTATTTTTTAGACCTATAAATATTTTTGAAGAAATAAATTAGAGCAGATCGTAACTACCACGTCACTTTAAAATGAACCGAAATAAATTTATTAGTATGTTGTCTGCCCCTAGTGGTAATCCTATGGATTTTAAATCATATAGAATCTGCATCATTTATTAAATATAACCGAAACTGCTCCTTTTTTTATGACTGCGGTACTGATGGTATCCTCTAGGAAACGGTCCGTTAAACGTACAAGTTCTGTCATTACTTGCATGCTTTCCTTATAATTTAGCTGCGCAAACTTGAAACCTCTCAAAATGACTTCCTCGGTGTGAACGTTTAGTGCTATTTTAAGCAGACTTACCACTTTCTTATGTATAAAAACTGGTTTTCGAAGAATCCCTTAATAGTCGAAGGTATAAAGACCAAGATGGTGTGGCCTTTTGTGTGGTCGCAGTCTCCTTTCGTTGAATAG